GTTCAGTTATTGTAACCTGTCCCGACTAGCAACGTTGGCACTGGTTAAATTTATTTCAGTTATTGTCACCTGTCCTTACTAGCAGTGTTGACAATGGTAAGACTTTGTTCCACAATTGTAACCTGTCCTGACTAGCAAGGTTGATATTTGTAAGACTAAGTCATTTTAACCTGTCCTTACTAGCAACGTTGACATTAGTTAAATTTATTTTAGTTATTGTAACCTGTCCTGACTAGCAACATTAGCACTGGTTAAATTTCAGTTGTTGTAACATGTCCCGACTAGCAACCTTGACATTGGTAAGACTTTGTTCAGTCACTGTAACCTGTACTGACTAGCAATGTTGACAATGGTAAGACTTTGTTCCACAATTGTAACCTGTCCTGACTAGCAAGGTTGACATTGTAACCAATGCTTACTTGTAGGAGCTTGGCAAAACTATGTTGAAAAACAAATTTATAAATGATTAACAGCACAGCACAGACCAGATGAAAATTCTGAAATAACTAATATGTCTTGTTTAATCCATTAAAAATATACACAACATTTACATTTTCCATATATTCCTTTTAATATAAATATGTATGACATCATAGGTCACAAACCAAACTGTATAGAAATAAAAATATCAATACAAACGTGTAAATGACAAAATAAAACTGGAAATATAAATCAATTTATATACAAAACATGGACATACACAGCAGTAGTAAATAAATATACCCTGCACTTACCAATATATATAGTAGATAATATTTGTTAGTAGTTGGACATTTCAAGTAATGACGATTTATCGAAATATTATCCACAATATACACAACAGATGGAAACATAAACACAAGATTATTTTTATATTTCATAATATATAAAGATTGCCATAAAAAAAACATGTGTGCAGTTGATGAATTTTTAACAAGTCGCTGAAATGACATGATGTAAATTTGGCACTAAATGAACTGCCCAGAATAATATTTAAAATAAAAATACATCCAGAAACATAATTATTATCTATTTATATACAACGGTATAATATATCAAAGAAACGGCAATACATACACCATAGTATTTTTTGTACAAATTTGTCACAAAAATCTGTCAATTGGATGTGAACAACATCTTTGTCACAAGTAAGCCACTGCAATCTAGAAATGAAATGCATCTAATACTGACTATGTGATTTCTGAATCAAAATTTCAGAAGTCGTATTAGATGCACAATTACATTTATACTGTATCATTAAAGATGAAATATGGATGAAAACATAATTTTTAATATTGTTGTTTGATAATCTATACTGTCGACTAAATCAAATTATGTTTCCATAAACTTTAAAGTTTATTTGCAACACACCTGACTGTATACATTAGATTCAAAATCTAAACCACTACTTGGCATGAACAGTGATTGCTCTACGTACCAACCAACCAGTACACATGAGTACAAATACTCTGATGTGATCTACAATCTAAACCACTACTTGGCATGAACAGTGATTGCTGTATGTACCAAACCAACCAGTACACATGAGTACAAATACTCTGATGTGATCTACAATCTAAACCACTACTTGGCATGAACAGTGATTGCTGTATGTACCAAACCAACCAGTACACATGAGTACAAATACTCTGATGTAATCTACAATCTAAACCACTACTTGGCATGAACAGTGATTGCTGTATGTACCAAACCAACCAGTACACATGAGTACAAATACGCTGATGTAAGCTACAATAACAGCGCTTTCAGTTCATGATAAATCCAATCTGTTTGTCAATATACAGTATCCAACAAAATAATGAAACTTGCATGTTTTCGTGCATAATTCATCTTTAAAATGTGCTTTTGTATGACCATAGAAACATTGATATCTACGTAAGCACATGCACAGAGCAAATAGGGTACACGCAGTGATAAGATAAGTTACATCACGGTTACTACTTCTAGTAACCGTGGTTACATGTGATCCAAGTTAAAGAGTCTTCGAATTAATTGAATGCTAATGAAGAATATATAAGGGGTGGACCATTAAAATCTCGCGGGGTGGCAGAAAAAAAAATGATGAATTCGCTGTAATTTTTTTATCTCTTTTGTGTGTCATAACAAAATAGGTGTGCAGATTTTTTTGTCTGTTATTTATTCTATGATTTTTTCTTGTTCAATTCTTTTTTCAATTCTCCCCTCAGAGTTTCTAATGGTCCACCCCTAAAATGTGTAAACATATTGGGTCACAATCTGTTCACATGACACATAAAATGTGTATTAATACAATGAATATTTACATAAAATTTGAACATACAACATGACATTTATATCCTGGATTAATATCAAATATCATAATTATCTAGAATACCGTAAAATATTAATCATGTAAAGAATACAACCATATACATTTATAAATATATATACAGAAATAAGATGTAAATAATGATATATTTTTAGTGGCACAGAGCAAGTGTAAAAACAGTTGGGGTACAACCCCTATTGCACATTATTGAATTTAAGGTGAATCTATATTTTCATTCTGGTGAAATTGACAGGAAGATTTTTTGCCAAGTTACTGAGATAGTAAATTTATGCAGTGTTTGCTGTGATTTTATCCAACTACATATTTTTGTTAAAACCCCACACAACAGTACAGGTGATAATCTCCCTATTGAGAAAGTGTAATTGAATTTGTGTAAAAGTTGAAATAACACAGTTAAGTATATTGTGTCTTGTGCACTGAAGTGTACCACAGTGTAAACCAGCCATAACACAGTTAGAGCATGGTGTCCTGTACTCTGAAGTGTACCACAGTGTAAACCAGTCATTTTGCATCCCATATATTGATATATCTACGACAAGTATAGAGCAGTATGCAAATACAATATAGTCTGCAACACTAATGTTGTTCATGGATTACTACAACCAAGGTCTGTTATAATATGCTTTCTAGCTACCTCATGCAAATGTGGTACAAGGTTTACAAACTGAACATCAAGGTACTTGGCAATAAGCTTGTATTGACCCTTGGCACTTGTACGGTCCGTTGCTAAGCAACGAACAGTTGTTCAAGATGGCAGCCATCAATATAGTTCTATTAGATTTCCTTGACCATTTACGTCTGTTTGTTTTAGAGAGTAAACAAGTACATTATTTGAGACACATGTACGTCATGATTCCAGCATCAGGTTTTACTTCTTGTCATTTTCATGTGAGTTTGAAACCTGTGCCTTTGTTTTTACAATTTTATAGTGAAGTGTGTAACATACGGTTGAATTAGAAAATATTTTTTAGATTCAGAAAATGTTTTGTTGATCCTAATCCCATAATTAAGCATGTATTCGAAAGCATTATGTATTATTTGATAAAAGTTAAGTAATGTCATTTCATTGATTACTAGTCATACAGAAACAAAAATTTTCAAAAATGATGATAATTTTTGTTAATGCAAAAAAATGTCCCAGGAATGAGAAGCAAAAAACTCTTTTCAAATACGATTATAATTTCTGTTCATGCAAAAAAGATTTCCCTGGGATGAGAAGCATGAACATTTTTTGGCCTCTATCACTTATCACTATTATTTTATTTATATTTAAATCAGCAATAATAAGCAGATCAGGCTGTATAATTGTTTTCAAGATACCCTGCAGACGCTGCTACAAAGAAGTTCATCTGTTAGATCTGCTATCTGTCATCAATTGCTTGTTCCATTAAGACTGCTGGTCCATTTGTATTGCAGGAATGCAGGTCTTCAGAAGGGCGTCGTAATATATCACTATGAACTAAACATCAATCAAACTGTATAATTAGAATCAAAATATTGAAGTTTAATAACAATAAAATAATTAGTGACTGTTGTGTACCTAATGGCTGCTCATTTGTATAACCATTTCAAGGTTTGAACACGTGTGGGCGCACTGCAAGTGGGGTTGTTTTAGAATGACCATGCAAGGCGTAATATCTTGAATAATCTTACTTCGAAGAAAGTTCCACAATTCGTGAGTTCCCCTCAGAGCACGCATAACATGCAGTAATGCACGAATGGCAAAGCTTATTGAACTTGTAGAACATGCTGTTAAACTAAATGTGTGTCTCTTTGAAGTCTGACATTCATGGGATATTGAGTAAGCCCTGTCATACTTTGCAAAATCTTTATACGTATAGTTGAAATTTCAGTATCAGAGACTGAAAAATAATAATTATGTTTGCATGTCATATATTTATTTGCTATATATAAACTATATGTACTGTTCTCTGTAAATTTTCTACTGTAATAAAAACATCTCCGATATCTTCCGGTTTGTGTTCGCGGCTTTCGTCACTGCCGTTGAACATACAAATATAAACAGCCATTCATGGGTTTAGTTATCATCATCAATTGCATGTCACCAGAGAATAAGTGTGGCAGACTAAATGAACAGTGAATGTGCCAAGTTTCAAAAAGAAATATTTTTTTTCTTATGTTGCTTCATGGAAAGTCAGGGAAGTAAGGTTTGAAAGTATTGTACTGGAAGAACACTAGAAGCTTTGCAATATCAGTTAACCATTTTATATGCCTGTAGGTTCGAATCTGGAAATAATACGCTTCCCGCACGATACTAATCAGGTGCATACAATGTTGTATTAATTCAACCCCACTCCAAGCACCAAACACCGCTGTTATCTGGGTACTTTATTAAGCCTTCTCTGGGTGTTCTGGTAAAACCCAACAACTCGAAAGTCAGGAATTGTCTTTGCTACTAAAACAACCGTATTGTTGCGAGTGGATTGTACTTTGGGAATCCCATTTGTCACAGGTGCTGTTAATTTCACAGGCTTTAGTATGAGCACACAAGTCATGATGTTATGACTATGATTCTTTTGAATGAATGTAGGTATGCATTAAAGGGTGGTGGTCATCGCACCGTTTCCCATTCGATATGGGACTCATACTCAAATGTTTGTGTGCAGCGTTCACACTTGTTTGTGAGCAGCATCCAAAATTGTTTGTGAGCAGCGTTCTCAAAAGTTTTTGAGCTGCGTCTCCCACTAGTTTGTGAGCAGCATCCTCGATTTTTCTTGAGCAGCGCCCTCATCCAAACCACACTCATACAGACCTTTTTTGTCTTCCTCAAGTGATACAGCTCTTCTGTCACGATTTTTCTTTTTCTTCTTTCTGTGAGATTTTTCTAAAATGAGAAGAAAATAGATAACCTAAAGATTCTGATTAAGAACTCATTCAATGAATACATTATTTGAATACTGATATTTTAACAATTATAAGATTATTTCATTGTTAAGAACACAAAGTACAGAAGTATGAGCAGTGTTCTCAAAAATATATCAAAAGTCATTCAAAACATAACAGGAGTGGACTACCGTGGATATGTAATGGGTCAATCAATTCTCTACTTGAATCCTTTTTCTTTGAGCTTTTGGAGACCAGACCATCGCTGTATGAATGGAACGAGTATGGCATATTAAAATTAATTATTCAATTTTCCTATCTTTATATGCATGATGCAAGGTTATCATTTTAAATATTTGAGTTAATGGTGACCGTGGTGGACAAAATAAAACACTCACACAGAAAACAAACTTTATAACTATACGAGTTTACTTTGCAATCATTTTGGAGTCCTGGGGAGTTCAACTCGAAGAAATATCTGGTAGCCATGTTTAAGAATGAGATTTAAAAAAAGCCATATTTGATTGGCAAATCAAGTCAAGACTTTGACTCAGACGTATTTTTATATGTCAACCATTGAGGAATTATACATGTATAACCAAGGATATACAAGGTAAGGGTATCATATTGGGATAGATGATGTAAATTGCAAATATCACAAAATCGTGAGACAAACGTAAAAATGCAAATTAGTGAGTACAGTGACCCCTCGCTAAGTCAACGCCTCAGTGAGTCAAGGTTTTGGTTAAGTCATTGGTTCTATTGTGTTTTGCCGGCAGTCTGAAGTAAAAGAACTAATGTTTCGTCGCATCATGTATTTAATTGGATGTTAAAGGGATGTAGGAGACAACTTAACACCTACTGTACTGAGATACAATGGTTGATGGCAGTCTGAATTGAGGTGTCGATGGGGGAATAAAGTCGCAACTTTATGTATTTTTCGGTCGTTCCCTTTGATGAAGCTCTATAAAACTTACTGCAATGAGTTGAATTCATGTGATCATGGATGCTGTGATGTTGTCCAATGAAGAAAACTTACTACTGTGTACATGTGCTTTTATACTTTAATAAGTGGCGGTTATTGCTTGGATCCCAACACTCGCAATCACCATATTTAAAAGAATTGGCCGCTTTCATCTCAGGTTGTTTTGCTAGTACTACTGTGTATTACATGTTTTTCAAATACAACGATAATCTTGCTCACTTGTTTTCATAAAACTAAACCTTTCGGTGTTTCTACATAAAATCTTTTTGTGTGTCTGCGATGCTAATAATCAAAACAAGTACAACTGATGTGAGTATAAAACTCATGTGGTATAGATTCTTCTTATAAATCCAAGATCACATTATATACCGGGTATACTTATTCGGAAATTCATAATCAAGACTAAATTCATCTTCAATGTAATTTGTCAACAGGTGGTTTTATAATATGTACACGTACCTCGCTGGTTGTAAAGATTTGGAACGTGGTCTATCACTACGTATTCTATCTTCTTCATCATCACTCCGATCTTCACTAGTACTTGTATTGTACATCATTGGCTTATACTTCTCAGTTGGTGGATAACTGGAGGAACCTATCAAAGAATATTATTCAGAAACAAGTCATTGTCAATGACACAGTCCCCGTCCCAAATTTTGTGATCTGACATATCAATTTGATGCTGATGAAGTCATTGAGATTAGATTGAAACCATTAATAGGAGAAGGATTTGTAAAATATATGATTTAGTGCTTTTACACAAGAATTGGACATTGGGCAGTCATATTGAATCAAATTACAAAAAACAAGTGGCGTATACAACAGATTGTTTATTTACACCAAAACACGTGTTCCGTGTAGTAGTAATATGGCCAAAAATAAAAACAGCCGTTATTTGGCCATCTTTGATCTGATTATGAAACACACTGATATGTATGATGTATGTGCCAAATACAAATGAAAATGGTACATAAATTGTGGAAATATAGTAGTAAGGCCAAAAAGTCAGATTGCTGTCAATCGGCCATCCTTGACCAGATTTTGAAACAAATTGTTATGGACATGCATCCTAACATGTATAAAGTACATGTATGTGCCAAATTTGAATGAAAACTGACAGAGCACTTCCAAGATACCGCATAAAAACAACAACAAGATGCCTGCCAGTCGACCATCTTTGATCCAATTGTGAAATAAATTGTACTGGACATGTAACCTAACATGTATAATCTATGTACCAAATTTGAATGAAAACTGACAAAGCATGTCCAAAATACAACATTTTCAAAAAACAAGATGGCTGCCAGTCGGCCATTTTGAATCGAATCGCTAAACCACTGCATGTGCATATGTCCCAGATAAAGTACTAGGCACATGCAAAGAATGAACGGAGATATGACTCCGGACGGACGCACAGACGCACGGACGGAGACCGAATTATAAGTCCCCGTTTTCGGACTTCGTCCGAACAGGGACTAATAAGCATTATTGTTTTGACTAAATTTAATCATGCTTGGTGCAGCCGAGATCAATGCACGGCATACTGTCTGAGTGCATACATTGAGGTATCCTCGTAATAACCTTATTATTATACATCTTTTTCTTCCAAAGATACATCATGAGAATGCCAAAATCCAAAATGTTTAGAACAGAATCAGCGAAACTCTTAGTGTGGAGTCCGGTCAAACTTTGGTGGCGGCCATGTCTGTTTTTATCATTAGAGGAAGCTTAAGTGCGTAATCATTCCATATTTGGAATTCAGATTTCCTAATATGGTAGGATGAAAATATCTCATAAAATACTGCAAAATTACGGCACGCTGTATTTTTATGGCATTACAGTGACAGATATATAATAATGATTAATATGATAACCAAGTTTGAGGATGATCGAATAAGAATTACTTGAGTTATCGTACCCACAAGAAACAGATTTAACAACAGGGACGACAACAAGACATTTTCCCTCAGACACCTTTCCTTCATTAATATTGCAGACAAGGCAAAAAATAAACAATTTAAGTCAGTCAACACGAATACAAATTATTACTGTGAGTAACTTTACTTACACTGAAACGCAAACGCCAAAATAGTATAAAATAATAAATTTAATTTAAAATATAATTCATAAACTACTGTACTCGAACGTGTTAGCACCCAGGGTCCTCAACTCATAAAATCGGGATTTTTTAGGGGTGGGCGTTTACCTGAGCGCCCCCCCTCGTATATGCAAACCATAGGTAAACTATTTTCACTGTACTTTTATTGTTACTTATTTACCCTCTCTATCATCAAAAATGGATTCCAAGCAAAAATAAGTATACTACACTCACTTATCTTTGGTCTAACTATTCTTAACGGTGCCAACTTAGGACTATTGTGTGGTGTGGCACCTTGGCTCAATGATCCTGTGGCATGTGTGTGGTTTGGAGTCAAAGTCTGGATCGAATTGAGGATACCTGCAAAACAAAGAAATATCAATGTCTCATGAAAAGCAGTATTTATGGATTATGTTACAGTCCCAAGATAGTCTATAGAGGGACTGGCTATCAAACAAATATGTAATACTTTGAAAGAGATAAAAGCTAGCTAAAACTTTTCTTTTAAAATGACATTTAAAGCGTTGATACAGTTGACATAAGTATGAATTGTGCGTAAACAAAATGCATTATGTCACATGACATTGAAAATGATTTGGTATGACGACTATGGCATTTTACAACATGCATGCCAACCGCTGCTTAGGTTAACAAGTCCACACAACACATTGTAAATATATCCAACCTTTATCCTTCCTTTGTGCTGCTAATATTTGCTGTGAACTGGTTTCAACATGTGCAGCCAACTCGGCTGATCTCTTTGAGATAGGTCTTAAAAGACTTGTTCCAGGTAAATGTAAGTTAATACCGCTGTTATCGGCAGTTGGGTCACTATGTCCTCGTCTCATAGCAACCGGTGAAGGCAATGGAGAGTATTTTTGAAATGTCGTTGATTTGAATTTTTGTTCTGACAGGGACAAATTTCGTGAAAGATCATCCCCAACCAAATCTACTTGTTTGTTGGTGTTTTTAGTTCTTGACATAGCCTGAGGTATTGGGGACAGCACTTTCAGTGCACGCTGTTCAACAGGAGACCAGGTAGCAACTTGTTTCTGTCGAAGCAATGGCGGATTTCTTGGCACATCTTGAACATCAGTACTTTTATTTGGGGTCAAGCAGGTTTGTTTTCAAACGGTGATTTTCATGCCCTGCTTTTTTATTTTTAGTGATTCCATCAGATGGACTCACTCCCACTGCATCAATAGATTCAGTGTTTATGTGAAGTTGCTCAGAGTCGGTAGTTTTCACTTTCTCTTTTTTGCTTGTAAATAGATTACTTAAGAATCCAAATCTTCCTTTTTTTGCAGTTGTAGAACTAGAATCTGCATTGTTTTGGTGATTCTCTTTAATATTTGGTTTCATTGTGCCATACTTTGCGCCATGTGTTAGCAATAATTTAATAACATCTCGATGTCCTGATTGTTCAGCATAGTCCAAAGGAGTTCCTCCAACACAGTCCGTTGGCGATGGATCCACTTTTAATTTCAGTAAAATCTCAACACACGCACACTGTCCTGTTGCAGCAGCCCAATGTAATGGAGTCCTAGAAAGACAACATAGTTAAACTTTGGTAACGTTGCCCTTTGTTATATAATATTATTTCCTTTATCATAGTTTGTTTCAATATAAATATGCATTGTTATAATTAATTTTGAATTCAAACAAGTTTTAGGATTGAAACAGCAGTAGAAAAGCAGTCTACCCAAAAGTCCTTGATTGATGTAAATATCTTACAAAAACATTGGTGCCCAATTTGTTTTATTTTATGGGACATATTTCCAGTTGGTGAAAGGGATAACAAATCGTAGTTGTATGCATTGTTTTTTTCATTCATAGCACATATTGGGGACAGAATATATGTGAGGAGGAATAATTCATGGCACATATTGGGGGCAAAATATCTCTTAACAAGGGAATTATATTCACTGTCTGTGAGGGGG